TTTAAAATACCTAAAAATAATTTTTTTTTTGTTTTAATAGCTTTGAAATAATTTTAATTACTTAATTTTTTGTAGGCTCCAAAAATAAGTATTGTTTCTTATATTTTTATCATCTAAATTAATTAATTAGCTCCAATTATTCTTTCGATAAATATTATAAGAGTTAAGGCTTTTGGTTAAAAATCAAAGCATTTTACTCTCTTCCTCCCGCTCTCTCTCTCTCTCTGTCTCTCATCCTCATCTTCCCCCTCTCCCAATCTCTATCCCTCTCTTTATTAGTTTGGTTACATCACATATGAAGTACCCTATGTATGGTCTCCAACAGCTGTAACTGTGAAGAAGTCTATTCATTCCTATGTACACACACATACACACTCTATCAATGTGTGTAAGCTACTGCTGCTTAGTCACTGCTGTGGACCCCTTTTTTTCTCTTTTTTTTTTATTTGGTATCAATTCAATTGGCAGCTGAATTCGTGCTCAAGTCATTTGGCTTGAATCGATGACGGCGTCACAATTATTCATTGTGTTACACTGGCAGCTCACACATACACCCACGCACACACACATATATACACACATGCAGACAAATCTGTTTGCTTTGTTTGTTTGTTTGTTGCTTATTCTTGGCTTTGTCTTGTAATTTGCCTCAACTTTTGCTATGACTGCAGCTTGCGCAGTTTTCCCTCGCTCAGACTCATTCGATCTCTCTCTCTCTCTCTCTCTCACTCTCCCTCTGTCTCTTTTACTCATAGAATTTGACGTCTGGACCATTCTCGCAATTCGCATTCGCATTTGCGTCTGCGTTTGCGTTTGTGTTTGCGCTTGCCAATTGACAGTGAAAACTAACGAGACGGAAAAGTAAACGCACTGTGAGTAATATTAGTTTGTAATTTGATTTTATGACTGCTGCTGTTGTTGTTGCTGTTTGTATTGTTGTTGTTGTTGCTGTTGTAGTTGCTGCTGCCATTGTTGCTATTCGTTGCCTTGGGCAGCAAAGCGTTGCTTACAATTGAAGCGGCCTACAAATAGTCAACCGGAATGCTTATTTATTGTACGTAGTGTTTGGATAGGTGCACACACACACACACACACACACACCGTCTCTCTCCCACTCTCACCACATTACATATGTTTGCGCGTATTGTGGACCCGGCTCTGCTAACTGTTAACGCACTGACAATGGCTAATATGAATTAGCTCATTAAATGTTCAGCAGCCACGCGAATTAATTCTATTTCAGCCAAATATAAAGAGAAATTACATAGCTGAACAAGCAGAGCACAAAATTTAATTATCACAAATTTCCATGGATATGCACGTATGTACAAATACATATATATAAATACATACAAATATATTTAGAGTTCAATTAATTTCAAAAGTGTTGCAACACTTTTAAAGGCAGCTTCCTTTGAAGAACTCTTTCCTGAATATCTCAAAATAACTAGCACGACTTATACGATTTTCCCCTATAGATCCCTTATAAATAATAATACATATAATAATTCTAAAAATCGTATAATAATTTTTATACATCGTTCAGTTACTATTGGCAATTTTCAATCAAATAATCGAAAATAAATGTGAGCTTCAATCACAAATGTTTTGTGATGATATAGAAAATGATATAGAAAATAAAAATCAATAAGAGAGAACATGAAGTACGTTAAATGTGAAGTCAAAAGTTGTTCAAGCCGTTCTATCTTAAGTATTCAAGACATTTGCAACACTGAACACCCAAACATGTTTATATTTATCCGTTTGCTTTGTAGTTGCATTCCAAGACAGTTGTCAGCATTGATTACCTTTAATGAGGCTCGACTGTGTCAAGAACTTTCCCTTTCGCTCTTTATGTTTAAGTATCACTGACTCACTGACTCACTCACTCACTCCCTCTCTCTCTCTCTCTTTCTCTCTCTCTCTCTCTCTCTCTCATGCACTCTCTCACTCACTCACTCACCGACTCACTGATATGCAAATGATATTGTATTGTGTATGGCTATATAAAACTGATATCTGGCGCACTAATCTTAGATACAAACAATATATTCAAAAAGCGACCTAGATCCTTGCTCAACGTCGAATAACAACAACAAGCAGCAACAGCAACAACAACAACAATAACAATGAGGACTACAACTGCGATAATAATAACAATAGTAAAAGTGAATGCCAGCTCGAAGCAGAGCGGAAGGAACGTAGTGAGCGATGGCTTGTAATGTGCCAGGGCAGAGGCAATTGGGTAACAGTGGAAGAAGAAGCAGAAGCAGAAGCAGAAGCAGCCGCAGCAGAACCACCAGAGAAGGAGCACAGAGAAAGAGGCGGAAGGTAGGGGGGAGGGGGGGGGAGTAGAGGGTGAGCAGTTAAAAGGGGAAACGTGCCTGGCTATGGTTGTGCGGCATAGATGATGAGGCACTCGTGACCAGGCAGAGCAGCCGACAGAAAGAGAGAAATAGAGAGAGAGCGCGATAGTTTATAGAAAGAATGAACGAGTGTCTATGAGTGTATGAGTGAGTGTCTATGTGTGCGAGTGTATCTATGTGTGTTGTGAACATTTTTAAAAATTACACTGAAATGGGCAAAATGCTCTTTGTTGTTTTTTTAATTTTTTGTTTGCTTTTTGTTTTGTCTTTTGCTTTGCCTGTCCCACAAAACAACATTTGAATGGCAAATATGAGTGCAAATAACTAGGCAAATGTCACAGCAAAGTGTGGAATACAAATCCGAAATGAAATGCCATTGCAGCGACTATAGCTGTAGGTATATATGTACAATATAAACATACATACAGTTATGTAAATATACATGTATTTCAGCATAAATTTATAGAGTGTGGATGTTTGTTGGACGAGTGATATATGTATGTATATCATGGTGTGATGGAGCAATGCTGCTGAGAGCTTATTCAGTTGATCTCTAATCTCTTAATTCACTCTCACACTTTTTTGTTACATTTATGAGTTCCCTCTTGCAATTTATGTATTTCAAGTTCTCTCTCGAAAAGCCTACAATACAAACCAAAGTCACTAATTTCAAGTTCATAAAAATTAGACCTGTAAACAAAAGTCTTCTGGAAATGTGGATTATGAGTGTGCATTAAATTGTCAGCTTGTCTCAGCGCATCCTGCTCAGACTTGTCAGCGAAGCTCAGTGGTACATGAGCAACAACAGATTCTTGTGCGAAGGCATATTAAGCAAACAATCAGCAACATAACAACTATACGCCCACGCCCAACAAACTCGTCAGAAGGCTCCGCAGAAGAAGACGCAATGGACTCAAGGGCATTTACTCATCACACTGGCTGAATGGCTTCATTTGCATGATTTACATATCAGTATTGAAATATTCCCTTGTTCTGGATAGAAGCCTTTTCTTTACAGAGACAAATAGGTCTAGTATGATCATATAATTGACATCGCTAGGACTGAAGCCCTAATTAACCTATGGCACAGATATCCTATTAGACAATAAGTGAATAGAGGTAATATCAATGTTAATCTATCGATACTTAACCATATTCATGGATGTAGGCTGACGAAAATAAGATGATCGAGAATACCTTAAACAGCGGCTGAAGAACGAGAACGAACTTTTAATGGAACGGAAATAACGTTAAAAATAAAAAAAAATAAGACTAGTAATGTCGAATTATAAAATACTATT